AACTAAGTATTCCCGATTGTAACATTTTTACATTTTTAAAGAGAGAAACGTCAATTTCTAAATTAGTTATGAGTTTAGAGAATGTTCTGAGTATTACCTCTTTTAAGAGGATCTTTTGAGTAATTACCTCAAATTAAGAGAAAGTTATGTTTAATACATTGAGCCTGAGTTTATATATTTTTGGGAGTAGTATTGAGCACTGATATGTGGATGAGTTCAAACAACTCACATTTCTCATAAATCATGTAGCCACCATGGGTAAAGAGTCGTACTTTTTAGACGATTCCTTATTGCTTTTAAGCATAGCTTAGTGGAATCCACTTAGTTGAAGTGTTATATACCCCGCCAAGTTATAGGACAGTTCTGGCAGCGTGGGCGAGACACTGTATCATCAGGTAGCTCATAATGATGGTTGTCGGTTCGAGAATCTCCCAAAATAAGAGTAAATAGTATATTATTGTATTTTTATACACTTTGAGTTGTTATCTACTGTTTTAAATGCTTTTAATATTGCATCTCTTATTATTGTTTTCATATTGGAGTTGAGTTGAGGTGAGTATTATCTTCCCATGTTATCAGTTCAATTATCTATGTCTCAGTTTTTCCCTTGCATGCTCGTACATTTAATGTACTAACGTCATTCGACCTGCATGTTTTTATGATGCAAACACAGGTGTTTAGGGTCATCAATAGGCGTTTTGTTGATACCATTTGCACTCCAGCTAGCTTTGGTGAACCTTCTTGCTTTCCGGAGGGCATCACATTATTATTTCTGCTTTGTTAAGTTGTTGAGGATCTTGTCCCGAAATCTATCGTAGTTTTAGAGGCTTCATAGATAGTTTAGATGTTGAAGAGTCTCTCACATTTTACCTTGTTAATATTTTGAGACTTTGAGTCACTTTATGTTTATTTAAGCATTTCCTGATATTTACTAAGTTGAGTTAAGTTGTTTGAGACATTATGAGTTAATCTTGGTATTTGGAGTCCCATTTTACTTGAGTAAGTCTTCCGCTACAGTATTCAGCCAGGTCAAGGGTTTGCTTGGGGACCAATGATGGTTCTCAAGTACCGGCCATGTCCAAGGTGTAGGCTCAGGGCGTGACAGTATTAGTTCCTTATCATACATTTGTGTCATGCATTTGAGTGTATATATTTACAATTATAGATTTATATTTTTATATTCGAGTGTTTTTATAGTGTATTCATCTCTAGAGTATATTTATATTAATCTTGTATCAACATATTCAAGTATATCAATGTTGTACACGTAATAGTCAATGATACAACGAAATCAAAAAAGAAGAAGAAGAGACTCTATAGTGCAAAGTGCAATCCACTTTATTTTATTATGGAAATGATCTTATGATATTTTAGAGGTCCATTGATTATGAAAGATCGAGATATCAAAGAACGTGATTTATGCTGAATTTCTTTCTTAAAAAAATATTGTTCCACAGTTGATGCACCGCATTAAATGTTATTTGTATTCGAAGTATCTTTTAACATCAAGCAGTAATGTCTACAAATTGTAAATAGTCAAAATATAGCTAAAAGACCTAATTTCGACATAATGTTAACTATCTAACAACCTTCAAATAAAATATAGACATACTCGATTATTATCCATTTTATATGAACTCATTTTTAACCCGTCCAAAATCAATCCAATCCACCATTACGCCACCACTAAATTATTCTTGAACTTTTATTTGCTATAATTGAACCTTTGTGGAATCTATAATTAAAGATATGATGGAAAATTTTGTTTCTGTTTCTTGGGGAATAACTTTATTATATATATGGACCATTCAGTATATGACTCAGTGTAAGAATCTCATAAAAGTAATTGTGACTGCATCATATTCTCTATGGGAAAAAGATATAAAAGAACAAGTAGTCCCTCGTTAATTTACAGCAAAGATTCACTACAAAAAATGGTCCACACAAGCATATTGTAATGGTTTGATCTATGACATAGGAAAATAAGATGAAATAAATAAAAGTTTGTGCATATATATAGCAACTCACTATTTTTGGATACAAGGAGAGAAATAAATTACTCCCTGCGTTTTAATTTATGTGACATTATTTTTTTGACAAAAAAATTAACAAAGAATTGAAGACTTTTAAATTTGTGATCAAAATATTCTTTAACCATTAGTTTGACTATATAAATCATTTTATTAAAGAAGAAAAATTAAATTATTTTCAATAACAAAAATATGATACTTTTTTTGGATAACGGACTAAAAAAAATATAGCACATAAATTGTAAATTGGGACGAATATATTAGATCTTACCTTGAAAAGTAGTTGACATATCCCTAAAGAGATCCACATAAAGCAAGCATGTTGAGATTTGAGAGAATGACAAAGGGAAGACCATAATGAATTTGCAAAAAGAAAACATAGAGACTCTAAAGTGTGTTTTGGGGTACGGGAACGAGAAATGGGGAGGGCATATAATCGGAAAATGGGAAGAGAATTACAATGTGAAGAATCGAATCCTTACCAACAAGGTGCATCGAAGTTAAGGTAGCTAACAAAATACTATAGGAGTGGAAGAAGGGGGGTTGGGATGGGATGGTCAATGGGTAGGAGTTTGGGGAGTTGGGTGAGTGGGAAGGAAATAATAAATAAATTACTCTCCGCGTTTTAATTTATGTGACATTATTTTATTTGATAAAAAGTTTAACAAAGATCTGTGATCAAAATATTCTTTAACCATTAGTTTGACTATATAAATAATTTTATTAAAGAAGAAAAATTTAAATTATTTTCAATAACAAAAATATGATACTTTTTTTTAGATAACGGACTAAAAAAAATATGGACATAAATTGTAAACTGGGACGAATATATTAGATCTTACCTTGAAAAGTAACTGACATATCCCTAAAGAGATCCACATAAAGCAAGCATATTGAGACTTGAGAGAATGACAAAAGTGAAGACCATAATGAATTTGCAAAAAGAAAACATAGAGACTCTAGGGTGTGTTTTGGTGTACGGGAAATGGAGAGGGCATATAATTGGAAAATGGGGAGAGAATAACAATGTGGGGAATTGAATTCTTACCAACAAGGTGCATCAAGTTAAGGTAGCTAACAAAATACTATAGGAGTAGAGGGGGGGATGGGATGATCAATGGGTAGGAGTTTGGGGTGTTGGGTGAGTGGGGAGAATATAATAAATATAATGTTATCTACCATACTTGTTTCCTCTACTTTCAATAAGAAAGTCGTTTTCTTCATTTTAAAGAAATTTATTTTTTTAGAGAAGTATTTTTAAATTTTTTTTTGTCTAAGTAAATATGAAAAAAATAAGAAAATATATTAAAAAAGATATCGTTAATAACATTCATTGATAATTATAATATTGAAAATAACGACAAGCTACCCGATATAATGAATAAATCTAACATAATGGTATATTATCCTACAAATAACTAATATAACTTAAATTCGTAATACTATAATATTCTTAATTCAACTTTCCATTAATTTAAGGCTAGCCATCAATAATTTTTTGTTTTTTTTACTTAAATAGAGCAAGTGACTATTTTAGGAATTGAAGCTACAAACTACAAAGAGAGAGAAAGAAATATCTTACATTGGACGGATATCCGATACTCATGAGAAGGACGAGCACTTTGAGAAAGTAAAGATTGGGTTTGCGGTTCGATTTGGATCGAATTTTATTAAAAGAAAATTAAATTAATTAAGTTATTTTTTAAAATATTAAAATTAAATTAAATCAATTAAGTGGATTCTTTATTACTTTAAGTTTTGTTATATTTTGTCCAAGAACTTAGCTATTTCTATTTAATATATAATAATTTTTTTACAAATCATATAAAAATTAAAGATTAGTTGTGATATATCAAAATATCTTGATAGATATTTGAATTAAGCAATAATGATTAGTTAAAGAGCATAAAGACAAATTATTTTGAGCCTGGAAGAGATTCTTAACACAGCAAAATTAAAAAATTAAAAATCAAACTAGAAAGTAAAGAAAAAATATTCAATTACTTATTATAAAGGGCAAATACCTAGATTATGACTTGCCGATTGCATCTAAAAAGTAGGTAACATGATACAATAGGTCTAATTATACTTAGATGGATATATATCTCAAGATTAAAATTGAGATAAAATTGATATTATATTTAATTTGATGGTATAAATTTATTTATTCAATCAAATGCAATACAAAATTTATCTCAAGCATAGTTGGTTTGGCGGAGCTTTTAAAAGATCAAAAGTATTAGTAATTATTTCCCAAAAATGAGATGTTTTGCCAAAATTTTGGGAGAAATTACGTGCTTCTATAGAGTAGGTTTTCAGAAGCTAAAAAAAACAATGTTTGCCCCAAAATACGTTTAAAAAAACACTTGTGAGAAAAATAACTTAGAACGTCCACTTTTAAAAGTTTGGGCAAATACTATATGTTGCTCATAAGTGCTTTTAAAATTTATTTGTCAAATACAATTTCTTACCAAAAAGCTTTTTTAAAAACACTTTTAATAAAATTACCTTTTGAAATAAGTTGATTTTAGAAGTTTGGCCAAACGAATATCCAATGATATCTTATCATACATGAGATTATTTTATCCCACGTCTCAAATGAAATAAATGAGTCTAAAAATTATAATTCATAAATAATTTAATTCGCAAACAAAAGGACCCTAATAGTATAAAGATTTATACTATAACTTAAACTAAAAAAACAAAAAAAAACTCACCTATCAAAAAAGGAAGAAGTTATTCCGAAAAGGAAAGTGATAGAGTTATCATGAAACTTTTGAAAATGGGAAGCTTTACAAGGTTGAATTATTTAAAAATCAGAATATATGAAAAGACGCGGTAATCATAGGTTAATTTTTATTTAAGAAAAAAAAAATACTCCTAAGTCCTAATAATATAATAGATTGGCTCGAAATAATATTAGCAAATTCAAAATTTTAAGTTTATGCAAAATATGTGAAATATCGAAAATAATTATATATTATGGTATTAATGTTTTGTCTTATTACGAGTAGGGGAATCCATCTATTTATTTCACCTCTAGGCTGCATGCAAGGTTCACTTAGCTATCAATGATTAAAAGAGATTTTTTTTTTCCAAAAAATTTCGTGCCAAATATAGTAACTTCACTTGTACATAAGGTTTTGACTTCGATCTACATTTCATCAGGTAACATAACAGAAGATTGTGAGACTAAAAATTGATTTCGTGAAGGTAATTATTCTCTATTCTATAGTTTTTTTTTTTTTTTTTTGATTTTGTATTCAATTTCAATATGGATTACAGGAATTCGGAGAAATATAGTATGCCGGAAAATAGAAAGAAGTACAAGGGAGAAACGTCATCTGAAAAAGTTGTGTCATGTCATGACTTGAACAGAAAGCCAAGGTTTAGATGGACAGTGGAACTCCATGAGCTCTTTGTTAAAGCTGTGAATGAGTTAGGAGGTCCTTATGGTTCGTCGTCTTACTATATACCACCATAAATATATACACAAAGATAGATTCAAAATTTAAAATATTAACGTATATGTTGTAATGAGCAGAAGCAACACCGAAGAATATAGTGAAACTTATGGATGATGAAGATATCACACCAGACCATATCAAAAGCCATCTCCAGGTAATTTATGCATGTGTTTACAAAAAATATATATAAAAAATAAAAATGCATGTGTTATAAGCTTTTTTTAATTTTAAATCATCATTATGCATGGAGGGGTAGATCCACTTGAAGCCGGCTCAAATACATTAGTGATTTAAAGCCAAATTCAAATGAAGACCTTAAATTTTAATGTTTTTCTTTTATGAAGTTTGTTAAAGTCCATTCATTTAAATTTTCTTGAGACAATATTATGGATTTGTTAAACTTCTATTAATTTTTTCCTGTGATATTAAAAGTTTATATTTTATACAAATAATACTCAATTTTTTTTAAATACCTATAACTTATTATAATTTCATAAAAGAAAATAAGGTTTCTCAAATTTGGAAACCTTAAGACAATTGACTTACCCGTAGAAAGCCGCCCTAATTTTAGTCCTACTTGTAGATTAAAGAAGGCACGGGGCAGATCTATTAAGGTCCGATATGGCCTAATCTACCTCAACCAACCAAACGTTTGCCTATTTGGAAGTTTTAGGTGTCACATCCTTGACAGAATCCATCGAAATTTGTCTAGTATGTAACTTTTTCAATGGATTTTCTACCGCAAATCCTTTACCAATGAGTCAAATTCCGATGTTCGTTGAAAAATTAGTGATTTTTGTTCAAAGTAATGTGATATTTGAAATCTTTAAATTCTGGATCCGACTGTATATAAACGAAGGAAAAATATAAGAGGGCAGAGGGGTTCGGATGATGATGAATGAGGAAATTGTTTCTATGACCGCTTACAAATTTGAATATAAAATTGTCCTTTTTAAGATAATTGAACCCTGCAAAAAATATATTATGTTAAATTAAATAGGGCAATTCCTTTTTTTCCCCATATATATATATATTGTTTCTGAGATTGCTTAACACTTCTTGATATATTTGAGTTCATTCTATTTTTCAGAAGTACAGACAGAGTAAAGACATCATGAGCACCACTAGAAGTACTAGTAAAGGCAAGTTGCTACTATAACTAATTAAGAACATCCAATTATTTTTGGCAAAATTAATTGTGTTTAATACAATGTGGAGAAACATGCAGGACCAGCAAAGAAGTAATTAAGCTCAGAGATCAATATGCAAAGAAGTTCTAGTATGATACTTACAGCTTGTTTAATTTGGACGGTCCTAACGTATTATTTTATAATGTATGTATCGTATTATTCTTATTATTTTGATAAATATAACGTTTGGATAAATTTTATTATTTTTTGTTGTGTTCACACTGCCACATAATATCAATTTGAAGAATAATTAAGCTTACAATATTACAAAGAAAAAGTTTGATATGGTTTAGCGCTATGTTGAGAAATACATATCTTGTACATATATTCTTGTATATTTAGTTTCCATATTAGTAGATCAAATCCCATTAATTGGAGATCACGATTTCTTACCTAAAGCTAGGTTAGATTGATTTGTATCAAGCTGTATATATATATATCAGATTGTGAATAAAGAAAATCACTTTAGCAAAATATATTGTTCTCTTCTTTTCCAAGATGGTATTAGAGCTTTCATTCCAAAAGTTCAAACACTAGCAATAAGAGTAACAATATAAATACATCAAATCCATATTTTCTTCAACATTCAGATCATCCCAGCCTCATGCTTGTTCCAATCAAGTTGAATGGGATCAATTATCCATCATGGAGCAAATCAATGATACATGCTCTCACAGCCAAACACAAACTATCTTTTATCGATGGATCAATTGAACCGCCGTCGAAAATAGATAAGCCAACAGAGTATGCATTGCGGAATTAATGCAATAATATGATTTTATCATGGCTTGCTCACTCGGTGGAACCAGATCTAGCTAAAGGAGTCATCCATGCCAAGACGACTCACCAAGTATGATAGGATCTTAAAGATCAATTTTCTCAAAAGAATGCACCAGCAATTTATTAGATTCAAAAATCATTGGCTTCACTCTCACAAGGTAACATGAATATTTCTTCCTATTTCACAAAACTCAAAGGTCTTTGGGATGAGTTAGATACATTTCGAACATTTCCCACTTGCAATCAAATTAAAGCACACACCGATCAAATTGAAGAAGACCATGTAATGCAATTACTAATGGGTCTTAATGATATCTATAATGTTGTTCGATCTAATATTCTCATGATGTCTCCCCTACCTAATGTACGCCAAGCATATTCACTTGTTATTCAAGAGGAAACACAGAGACAAATGACGTCGGAATCAACATAAAGTTTCTCTATTGCGACTGCAGTTCAAAGGCGTACCAATAGTTTTTTCAACAAATCCAAGGATAAGCATTGTGAGCATTGCAATCAAGAAGGACACACAATTGAGAATTAACGCACTCTAAAATTTCATTGCAAGCATTGCAATAGAAAAGGTCATACAAAGGATAAATGTAAGTTTCAAAATGGCACTTGGTGTCCCAACAACTCAGGAAGCCAAAATAATCGACAACAACGTGGATCTCAGAGTAATCCTTCTCATGTTTCTAATGTAATATACACTCACCAATCTAAGAATGAGATTCACTCGCAAGATACCAATGGTTCACATGGATTTTCAGCAGAACAACTCCGACAGATTGCTCAGGCAGTAAGTTTGTTCACGCAAAATAATAGTTTTGCCAGTAATAGCGACTCTTATGCAAATGCAGCAGGTTTATCTCTTTTTCATAATGTTTCAATTAATTCTGCATTCACTAGGCCATGGATCTTGGACAGTGGAGCAATTGATCACATTACTTCTGATTCCACATTCTTCACTCAAACAAAATCTCCATCTATACCCATTGTCAATTTACCCAATGGGTCACCAGTATCAATTCATTCCACTGGAACAATACCTTTTAACTCAGTTAATACCTTAAACCATGTTTTACATGTTCCCTTTTTTCGTTTAAATTTAATGTCTGTTAGCAAACTCAGTAATGACTTTAATTGTTATGCCCTTATGTTTCCCACTTTTTTTTTTGTATTACAGGACTTGGCTACGGGGAAGATGATTGGCTCGGGTAAACATCATGCTGGTCTCTATTACATGACACCAGTTTAGAAACCACCCATTTCTCATCAAGTTTCACAACCAAGAGATTTATGGCACATGCGTCTAGGACACCCATCACCTTCTCGCCTTAGATTAATTGATCCACTATTACCTTCTCGTAATGTTTCCTTTGCTAATAATTGTGATGTTTGTCCTTTGGCTAAACAGACACGACTTGCATTTCCATTGAGTAACATATCTACTCGTTCTCCATTTGACTTATTACATTGCTATGTTTGGGGTCCACATCGAGTACTTACTGATTCAGGGGCTCATTTTTTTCTTACTATCGTAGATGATTTTACAAGATGTACTTGGTTATTTCTTATGAAATACAAGTCCGAAACTTCTCATATTATGCAATCTTTTATATCATTTACTAAAAACCAATTTCATGCTTCAGTTAAGAAAATTAGGATAGACAATGGAAAAGAATTTGAACCAATGAATTTTTTTTTCACTCTCATGGAATTGAATACCAACGAACTTGTGTTTTCACTCCATAACAAAACGGGGTAGTTGAACGCAAGCATCGTCATATTTTAAATGTTGCACGAGCTTTACGTTTTCAAGCTCACTTGCCAATCACTTTTTGGGGTGAATGTGTTTTGACTGCTGTATATATTATTAACCGATTACCAACTTCATTGTTACATTTTAAGTCTCCTTATGAATTGCTATATCATAAATCACCATCCCTTAGTCACCTAAAAGTTTTTGGTTGTTTGTGATGCTACTGTTGTTAAACATAAAAAAAAGTTTGATTCTCAAGCCAAACACTCCATCTTTATTGGTTATCGTACTGGTCAAAAAGGTTATGAGCTTTATGATCTGGAAACCAAATATTTTTTTATAAGTCGTGATGTCAAATTTTCTGAAACTATCTTCCCTTTTAGTTCAGTTACACCAACTTCAACCTCATTATCACCTCAATCCTCTTCTAGTATATTTGACAATTGGTCCTCTCCACCATCTGTCATAAAAGATATCTCATTTTCTCAACCTCTATCTATCCAGAGAGTAGAATCTCATGAACCCAGAATTACGGAGGACATGTTTAGCAATTCTACTCAATCAGATATTTTTTCTAGTATTCCTACCCAATCTGAAATTATTTCCAGCAATCCCACCCAATCTGAAAATACAACAGATGACAATCTTGCCAATCCCAACCAACTCGTTCAAAATCCAACGTCTGATGAAACCCTTGAATCTGTTCCAGTCACTTTAGAGGATGTGGTTCCTTCATCTCCTCTTTTAAGACAATTTGCTCGTCTAAAAAAAACTCTTGAATGGCATAAAGACTACATATTGCTAGCTCAAGCCAATCAATCTTCTGCTATGCCAAGTCCAACATTAGGTACTCGATATCCTCTTTCTCATTATCTTTCTTACTCTCACATATCTTGAACACATTGCATTTTTCTAGCTGACATTATAGGTCACACAGAACCTTCATCATATGCTCAGGCTGTTCTTGATCCACATTGGCGACAAGACATGAATGCTGAATTAGAAGCATTAAAAGATAACAAGACTTGGAGCTTAGTTCCACACCCTGTTGGTCAGAAACCTATTGGATGCAAATGGGTATAAAATGAAATACAAATCAGATGGAACGATTGAGCGTAATAAGGTTCGTCTTGTCGCAAAGGGATATACTCAGATTGAGGGAATCGACTATCAAGAAACTTTTTCTCCTACAACAAAACTCACGACACTTCGTTGTATACCTACAGTTCATTTTTCTAGAAATTGGTTCGCATATCAATTGAATGTCCAAAATGCTTTTCTTCACGGAGCCCTACATGAAGAGCCGTACATGGAATCTCCACCAGGTCTGCACGGACAGGGGGAGAACACTGTATGTCAGCTTCACAAATCTTTGTATGGCCTTTAGCAATCATCGAGAAATTGGTTTCTCACATTTTCAGAAGCTATTCGTAAAGCTGGTTTTCAACAATCAAAGGCTGATTATTCCCTTTTCACCAAGGCGAAAGGTTCATCATTCACAACAATACTTATCTATGTTGACTACATACTTTTCACAGGAAATGATCTTCAAGAAATTGAACTCATCAAAAGGTTTCTTCTCAAACGCTTCCGCGTTAAAGATCTTGGAGAGTTGTAGTATTTTTTAGGTATTGAGTTTTCTCGTTCAAAGAAGGGCATCTCTATGTCTCAGAGAAAATATGCAATAGAAATTTTGCAAGATTCAGGAATCTTAGGAGTAAGGCCTGAAAAGTTTCCAACGGAACAAAATTTGAAGCTCGCTTCTACAGATGGAATTATACTGAATGATCCAACAAAATACAGAAGACTAGTTGGCAGATTGATTTATCTCACCGTCACAAGGCCTGACATTGTCAATTATGTTCGGACACTTAGCCAATTTATGCATGACCCCAGAAAACCTCATTGGGATGCTGTTGTGCGAATTCTCAAATATATCAAGGGTACTCCAGGTCAAGGTTTGTTATTTCCTTCCACAAACAATCTTATTTTAAAGGCCTTTTGTGATTCAGATTGGGGTAGTTGTCGAGCCACAAGAATGTCTGTCACAGGATACTGTATTCACTACTACAAAAACAACTTTTATCGGTAATAAATAGACACATTAATAAAGAGTGCTTAAAGTCTTTATCGGCAATAGTTAAGTGCCATTAGATCCAATGTCACTAAAGCCTTTAGAGACATATACAAAGAGTGTTAATTGTCGCTAAAAATATATATTTATCGACAATTGCTAATTAATTACCGCTAAAGATCATTTTTGATGTAGTAATTTGATGAGTCCACAAATTGGACTCATTTAGGGCTTTATTTTAATAGAAATAGTGTCCTCAAATGCTTATTTAGTCTAAATATCTAATGAAAACACTTAAGTTTCAGGTATTTGAAGTATTAGTGGAAGCATGGACACTTAGGCACAAAAAGGAGCAAAAAGGCTGAAAAGAACAAGAAAATGAAGGCCTGAGGATCGTCGAGTCCACTTGGCGAGTCGCCGAAGGGTCTCACTTCTCCTTTTGTTCCAGTGTGCTGAGCTTGAAGGAAATGATTAAGTCGGTGGAAAAAGGGAGCAGTTGGCGCATCGCCGAGAAGTTTCGCGAAGCAGTACTATGTCCCCCAATGACCCAGAACACGACGATGTCGAAGGATGGTGCAAGACGATGATGAACTACACCAAAGGGTGAATCGCCGAGTTGATCGATGATTCCGACTAATGTTGCCGAATGATCCGCTGCAACACAGATTTTTGAAAACTATAAATACTCGTTGAGAGTTATA